TGGGGCAAGTGATGCTCTGTCTTCCTGGTGCTTGGGGGGGGCAACAGTGGGAGGGCTTCTGGTGTCCTGGCCCCACTGCTGGACCTCCTGAGGGCACCTGGTATTTCTGGCCACTGTGTGACACAGAGTGTTGGACTGGAGGGGCCTTTGGCCTGGTCCAACATTGGTGTCTCTTATCTTCTTATGTAAAAGGGATCCAGGAGGGGGAATAGAAGTGCCTCCGTGGGACACTCAAGCAGGCTCGGGGTGGGGGGAGGACTCCCAAGTCGCATCAGCAGAGGTGGAAAGAATGGGTGCCGGCTAAGGCAGAAGCCGGAAGTCTTTCGTCCCTGGGTCCGGGCCGTCAGGCATGCCGTGAGCGCCTCCCGAGCCACTTTTGGATCCTGGGGCTCTGCCCATCTTTCCACACGTAATGAGAGGAGCGGCCGAGTCCCTGGCCTTCCCTCCGCGCTCCAGATCGCATGGGGGGAGGGGGACTTTGCCGCACTCCCTCCCCCGCACCAGTGACGACTTGCTCAGCCTCCGTGGAGTGGCTCTAAACGCGCCCTCTTTTGTGGCAGCCTTCAGATGGTGATGGCTGGCGAGAGCGGGGCCAGCGCCCTGGCCGAGGCCTTGACGTCCAACCGGAGCCTCGCCACCCTCGAGTAAGTGCTCCCCCGCCCCTGGGATACACCCTGCGCTCTCACTGGCACCATCTTGGCGCTTCCGACGGCCCGGCCGGGCGGCCGCTTGCGGGGACAGCAGGACTGCGGTCGGCTGCCATGCAGTTCTGCCCCAGGGGTGGGGCGGGACGGGACGGGACCTGAGCCGACAGCCGGTTGCGATCTCTCTGCCGTCTGTTCCAGCTTGAGAGGCAACGCCATCGGGTTGGCGGGGGCGAAGGCGATGGCGCATGCCTTGAAAGTGAACTGCGCCCTCCGCAGGGTCAAGTAAGTAAAGCAACGGCAAACGGTTCCTGTGGATGGGAACGGACCGGCCTGTCCTGTCCGGGGGGCAGAGGTGCCTTCCTTTTCCCTTTTGTGCCGCTCAGTGGCATCGGGATGGCTGTTGGCTACTCACGGTCACTGGACTCCGGGACTCACTCACCTGGGGCTTGGGCCAGGGCTGCAGGAAACGGGCTTGGAATTCGGCTTGTGTCTCGAGCCAGATTCTGAGTCCGGCGGCTGGCTGGCTGGAGACAAGTGGTGACAAGGGGGGGGTGGGGCGGGCTGTGGGTGGTGGTCTGGGGGGGGGGGGGGGGGGGGATGGATGGAGCAGCTGCTGAGCAGACCAGCCCCTCTGTAAAGCAGAGCTCGTCCAAGACCACCACAAGAAAAGCCAAAGAAAATCCAGGTAGGGACCTCAAACTCCCCAGCGCCTGGGAACAGCAGGTGGCAAAAACGACGGGGCTTTGGAACGCTGCCAGTCCGGCTTAGAGGTGCACAGCACCGGCTCAGCCGATGGTTTCATGTCTCTCTGATGGGTCACCCAGTCAGACCAGCACCTCATGCCTTTCCTATCGCTCTCCCCCAGCCTCCAGGAGAATTCCCTCGGCTTGGACGGAGGCATCTGCATCGCCACCGCTCTGTCCGGAAGCCACGGCCTCGCGTACATCAAGTAAGCCGACTTCTCAGGGAGGGGAGACCAGAGGGGAGGTGTCTCCCAGCACCTGTTCGGGTCCGGCCTGTACGGACATGCAAGGACTGGGAAACTGTGACGGGTTATGAAACCTCGGGCAGGGCACCGCACACACTGCACGCGACCCACCCGTGTGCGTTCTCCGGAGGGGGTCGAACTAAGTACCCGGCGTCTTCATCTTTTAAAAAGTGCACAGTCTCGAAGATGCTGAGTAGGGGACTCACAGCGGTGGGGAGGGGGTTGTTGTGTCTTGTGCGCCGCCGCCGCCGCCGAAGGGCTAACGATTCCTTACAGCCCAGTTTTTACCAAAAGGAAACAACGGATTCTAGGGAGAGGCCCAAGGAAGGTGTGAGGGCCCATCTGACGTTCGCAGCCGCCACCAGGGGAGTCCTGGCAGGGCTTTCCCCACTCGTGTCTGAATGGCTGCTCTTTTCCCGAGCTTTGGTGCCAGACGTTGGGGCGACGTTGGCCTCGGGGGTCCCAAGGGCCAATCCTAGCCCAAAGCTTTTCCTCTAAGGGGGAGAACAAGGCTGTGTGGTGTGGCTTGACACGCTGGACATGAGGTTTTCCATATTCCCTCCCTCCTGCAAAATGGGCCTGTCCGTCTATCACCCTCTCAATCTATGTCTTGTGGCACGAGCTCAAGATGGTGCCCACTGGTGCTCCAGTCTGTTGGTGGTGGAGGAGGAGGAGATTGGATTTATACCCCACCCTTCACTCGGCGTCTCAGAGCGGCTTACAAACTCCTTTCCCTTCCCCTCCCCACAATAGACACCCTGTGAGGAAGGTGGGGCTGAGAGAGCTCTTGACAGAAACAGCTCTTTTTCGAGAACAGCTCTGAGAGAACTATTGCTCACCCAAGGTCATCCAGCAGGTACAAGTGGAGGAGGAGTGGGGAATCAAACCCAGTTCTCCCGGTCTAGAGTCTGCGCACTTAACCATGATTCCAAACTGGCTCTCAGTTAGTGGTTAGGAGCACGGATTGCAATCTGGGAGAACCGGGTTCGATTCCCCACTCCTCCACGTGCAGCCAGCTGGGTGACCTTAGGTCAGTCACAAGTTCTCTCAGCACTCTCTCAGCCCCACCCTGCCTCCCAGGGTGTCTGTTGTGGGGAGGGGAAGGGAAAGGAGACTGTAGGCCGCTCCGAGTGAAGGGTGGGGTATAAATCCAACTCTTCTTCTTAAACTGGGGGGGGGGGAGCTGCACTGTTATATTTATTATCAGATTTGTACCCCGGCCTCCCCAATGGGCTCAGGGCGGCTTCCAGGGGAAGTCCCTCCCCCCACTTCTTCTTGCACTGGGGTCATCCGCATGTCGCTATCAGTCAGTCAGGCTCTGAACAAAACGTCTTTTAGCGGAACTGAGCTCCTCAGGCCCCTTTCCCTTTTTCCCTCCCAGCTTGCAGGGCAACCAGATCGGCGAGTCAGGAGCCAAAGTGATCGCTGACACCATCCGCGCAAATGCCCCCGAGTGCGTGGTGGAGATCTGAGGAGAAGGACTCTGACGGAGGGAAGCCGGGACCCCCACAGACTCCACTCGCAGGGGAGCCAGCCGAAGGAAAGGCCACTCAGCCCTGGACCGTCCCCCCTGGGAATCAGGCCCCGGCTGGAGAGCGCCCTGCCTCCGCCCTCTGTCCTTGGGCCCGTCCTCGCTTGCGTTGGAGAGTCCGTCACTGCTGACAGAGGAGCTCGCCTGGTGCAGAGAGGGCCAGCGGATCCCGGTGAGTGGCCGGCACGAGACTGTCTGGGGGTCTCCTCTCAGCTGAAGGCTCCGGTCCGGCAGCAACTGGCAGAACTCACAAACAAAAACACCGGATTGGGGTGGTGGTGGTGGGGGGAAGCCGTTTATTTGTGAAAAACATGCTTGTGGCAGGACAGCCGGGATTGCAGGCGACCGAGGATTGTGGGATAGTCCTGCCGATCCTCTGAAAACGGGAGTCCTAGATGGAGGCTTCCGTGCAAGACGTATAAAACTTGTGACGAGCACACGGCAGGGTTCGGTCAAATCTGTTCAGTGCCAAAACACAAAAGAACAGTTGTCAGAGCAGTGTGTGTGTGTGGGAGAAGCAGGAGCTGAACAGATGAACAAATGAAGCCGCCTTCTACTGAATCAGACCCCCTTGGGTCCATCAAAGCCAGTATCGTCCACTCAGACTGGCAGCGGCTCTCCAGGGTCTCAGGCAGAGAAAGGTCTTTCCCATCCCCTCCTGCCTGGTCCTTTAATTGGAGATGCCGGGGATTGAACCTGGGACCTTCTGCGTGCCAAGCAGAGGCTCGGCCACTGAGCCACGGCCCCTCTTGACAGCTCTCCAGGGTCTCAGGCAGAGAAAGGTCTTTCCCATCCCCTCCTCCTGCCTGGTCCTTTAATTGGAAATGCCGGGGATTGAACCTGAGACCTTCTGCATGCCAAGCAGGGGCTCTCCCACAGTCAAACAGTACCTTACGCGCGAACACATGTGACGCTGCCTTATACTGAATCGGACCACGAGTCCATCAAAAAGTCAGTTCTGTCTACCTAGATGGGCAGCAGCTCTCCAGGGACTCAGGCAGGTCCACCACCTGCTACCTGGTCCTTTTACCTGGGCATGCCGGGGATTGAACCTGGGACCTTCTGCGTGCCAAGCAGAGGCTTTTCCACTGAGCCACAGCCCCTATCAAGATCGCTATTGCCTATCCTGACTATTAGCAGTTCTCCAGGGTCTCAGGTGGAGGTCTTCCACGTCACCTACTACCTGGTCCTTTTAACTGGAGATGCCGGGGATTGAACCTGGGACCTTCTGCGTGCCAAGCAGAGGCTCTGCCACTGAGCCACAGGCCCTATTATCAAGACCGCTATTGCCTATTCTGACTATTAGCAGTTCTCCAGGGTCTCAGGTGGAGGCCCTTTGCATCACCCACTGCCTGGTCCTTTTACCTGGAGATGCCGGGGATTGAACCTGGGACCTTCTGCGTGCCAAGCGGAGGCTCTGCCCCACTGACCCACAGGCCCTTCCCCTTAAAAAACCCAACACAAATCATTCCAGCCCAAGTTTTCGTGATGCAGAGCTCACTTCATCGGATGTGCCTGAGAGGACATCTATAACATTTATTCTTAGAGTCGCAAACCATCAGACTCACGAAAGCTTGTGCTGAAATAGACTGAGTTTGCTGTAACAGATTACAGCACCGCTGAACGTCTGCTTGCATCGAAGACCAACACTGCGACCCAACTGGGATTAGCTGTTGTAGATCTCCCGGGCGGTGTGGCTGTGGTCTTGGCATCGCAGGGCCCGACGTTTCGCCAGCAGCTGTGACCGGCGTCCTCAGAGGTATGACAGAGGTCAGCGAGACAGAGAGCGCTCCACCTTTCTGTGTTATACCTCTGAGGATGCCGGTCTGCTGCTGGTGAAACGTCAGAGATTACGGGTGCCGAGATCACGGCCACACAGCCCGGGGGATCTACGACAGCTGATGAACTCTGGCCGTGAAAGCCTGCGACGGCAAACCAGCTGGGATTGGGACCGACCTGCCCAGCAAGCTGCAGCTCTTCTTGTGGATCTTGTTCATGAGAGCTCGTCTCAAGGAAGCCCCGGCCTGGACGGCCCCAAGGCCAGCCCGATCTTGTCAGGTCTCAGAAGCTCAGCGGGGCCAGTCCTGGCAAGGGCTTGGAAGGGCGACCTCCGAGGAATACCAGGGCCGGGAGGCAGAGGCAGGCAATAGCAAGCCACCTCTCTGAAAATGCCATAGCCCCACTAGGGGTCGCCAGAAGTCAACCATGACTCCCAGGGTTACACGCTCACAAAATACCTCCCCCCCCCAAAAAAAAAAAGCTTGTCTCAAAAAAGATCAACCTGATTAAACCCGGCCTTATGCCGGTCAATGCTCCCTCTAAGCTGTGGAGTCTTGTGAGCAAAAATTCTACTTTCTGAGCTAATGGCATTAAAGTGGTGAGCAGGTGATTTGGCTACTGCATGAATTAGCTTGCTCTGGAGCCCCATCCTTCCTGAGCTAAGACAAAAATGTGTGAGCCGGAGGCTAAAAGACTGTGAGCTAGCTCACACTGACTCAGCTTAGAGGGAACACTGATGCCGGTGTGGATGGCCCCAATGGTGAGTTTGTACTACAAGTTTTAAGAGCGAGCATTCTGTTCCCGCGGTCTTCAAAATGAGTCCTTGGTTTGCTTCGCCTGCAGCCTCGCTTAGGGGGCCAAGGGGCAGACTTAGAGGTTCCAGACAACTCACACATCCAGGGATTTCCACATTCCCAGGTCCGTGCCAAGAGAAGCCACTGCCTTCTCTCGAGTAGGACGGAGCACCCGTTTGCCGAGGCTTCGGGCCTTCTACTGTGCAAGCCGGTTTACGAAAATCCCACTGGGCTGCTGCCTTTGAAAATGTCTCTAGACCGAAAAGCTTCCAAGAATTTTGCTAGCGCGAATGTACCGCTCGCAGACGCTGGGCCCCAAAGATCACCCTGCCTCCAGCCCTCGTTCAACTGCTTCAGTTCTTACTTTCGCGAAAGCAGTTCAGAGACTTTGTGCACTGATGAGAGAGAGAGAAAGAAAGCGTGCAAAGGAGGCATTGGCTTCAAAGGCACAATGAAGCCAGAGGTGCGAGGGGAGCATGGCTGCCGTGACCAGGGCTATTTTTGGGCAGGAACGCACAGAAACGGAGTTCCGACTGGCTCCTGAGTTGGCCACGCCCAGCAGGAACTCATTAGCATAAAAGGCCACACGCAACAGCAGAAACTCATTAGGATTGGCTACATTAGGGGTGTGTGGCCTAACATGCAAAGGCGTTCCTGCTACAAAAAAAACAGAATAAGAAGCAAAAGGTGGGTGTGGCTGGATGACCACACTTCTGGTAACACGGGGGTGCGGCCTAATATGCTAATGAGCTGTGCTGTTGAGGGCGTGGCCTAGTATGCTAATGAGTTCCTGCTGTTGGGTGTGGCCTACTATGCTAATGAGTTCCTGCTGGGCTTTTTCTACAAAAAGAGCCCTGGCCGTGACTAATTCACTGCTGTGCAAGTCCCACCTGGCTGGCTGCTTACGCCGCTCTCCGGGGCTCCCCTGCGGGAGGCAGCCTACCTGGGGCCGGGGCTCAGAAATCGTTATCGCTCTCCTCCAGGGGCTCCGGCTGCCTGGCCCTCCGGCTGGACTTGTTGGGGGCCATGTCGATGCTGTTGTCCTCCAGGTCCTCGTCGTCTTCGTCGTCATCGTCCAAATCGATTTCGCTGTCTTCGGAATCCTCCTGTTAGAACGAGACTTTTGTTTAAAGCGCATCTGTTCTTTGGGACTGGGGCAGCTCCTCTTTCCTTTTAAGCCTCTGTGAGGAGAACGCCGAACGTGCGGAGTCAGAACACGGAGCTGACTTTCGTAATGAGGAACGACACCTCCCCCCCCCCCAGAACCCCCCCCTCCCCTCCCGGCCGCAAAAGTTTGGC